GTTTAACCGGGGCCCCGTGCTGGTGCCTCGGAGCCGCCTCCCTGCGCCGCCTCCCCCCGCCCAGGCCCTCGGCCAGCCTGCCATTTCAGCCCGGCCAATGCCGCCGAAAAGAAGGCCCACAATGGGCCCTCGTCAGCCGCCGGGCCCGTTTCATGCCGGCCCCATGTGAAGCCCATCTCGCGGGAGGGGGGCCTCTTCCGCGCGATGAGGCTGGTCTTGCTCCCATCAAAGCCGCCCCTCCTGCCCTGTCCCTGCACTCATCAGCACACTTGCCAGCGAACGGGGGGCACACGTTTGCAAAAGTGTTTGTTTGTTTCGCCGGAGGGCGAGAAAGGAGCGGCGGGGACAGGGGCGGCGGGGGTGAAGAAAGTGCCCGCTTGCGGGTGTTCCGCCCGGAGGAGGGGGCCTTGCGCGGGCGCACGGGCCGGAGCGCCTGCCCCTGGCACCACTCTGGCCGGAGAGCCGCTCGGCCCCCGCCCCCCGGCCCCGCCTCTCATGCCGAGACCCGCCCCGGCGCGTGTGTCGATGGGGTGCGCCGGCCCCCAGTTCCAAGTGCACTGGCCCCTCTCGCTGGGCCGCTCAGTCGCTGGTCGAGGCGAAGCCGGCTGCCATGAGCTCCTCCAGGCCATCGAGGACGGAGTCCCGCACGGGCCCGGTGCTCGGGCTGGCGGCCGAGAGGTGGTGGTGGTGGGGCTGGTGGTGGGGCTGGTGCTGGTGCCAGCTGTGGGGCGAAAGGTGCGGCCGGCCGGCCGGCCCCGTGACCATGGCCCCGGCGGTGGCCAGCGGCGACGATGTCATGGGAAGGTGCGCCGCGAGGCTGCCTGCCCCTCCGCCCGGGGACGGCGCCATGGCCAGGGGCGACAGCGGCGGGATGAACCCGCTGCCGGTGGAGTCCTCCGTGGCGACCAGCGAGTCGCCGGCCGGGGCGGGCGCCTGGCCGCCCGGGGGGCCGGCATACCCGGCGCCATAGTACCCGTTGGGCATGAGCGAGGGCGGCAGGTGGAGGGTCGGCGACCGGGGCGGCCCGGCGCTGGTGCCCCCGCCGCTGACCGAGCTCACGGACACATAAGACAGCGGCCGGCCATTCGGCGCATACGGCTGGTGGGGGTGCTGCTGGTGCAGATGGTGGTGGTGGTGGTGGTGGTGGTGGTGATGGGCCGACTGCTGGGGGTAGTCGGCCGCCACCGGGGACGCCGCGGCGTACGCCCCTGCGCCCTGGCTGCCCGGGCTGCGTGCGGCCAGCGACATGGCCGCCGGCGAGGCGGCGCCGCCGCCATTGGGCCCGGCGGCGGCGGCCCCGGCCAGGGAGGACACCGAGCCCGACAGGGGGCTGGCGCCGGGCGCGATGCCCGACCGCACGGAGGAGGCCGAGCTGGGGCCGCCAATGGCACCGGAGGCGGCGGCAGCGGCGGCGGCGGCGGCGGCCGCCGCCGGCGAAGCGGGCACGATGGTGCCGTGCGGCGGCGGCGGCGTGAATTCCGAGATATGCCACAGGGCCCCCCCCCCTCCGGTGCCCCCCATGCCGCCATTGGGGTTGAGCACGCCGGCCGACGGCGAGGCCGAGAGGATGGTCGTCGAGGCCAGCGAGTTCGAGTGGTGCTCCTCGAAGAAGGGCGAGCACCGGCCGGGCTGGTACTCCCCGCTGCCGGGGCTGCCGGCCCCGCCGCCGAAGGACCCGCTCAAGGACGACCCACAGTGCAGGGAATCGCTGGAGTGCCCGCGGCCCGGGGCGCCCCCGTGCGACAGGGACTCCGCCGAGGCATCACTGTCGGTCGGCTGGAGCAGGCCCGGCCGACGGTTGGCCAGCCCGGGGCCCATGGGCTCCGGGGGGTGCTGGCTGCCGGGGTACATCCCGGGGCCCGGGCCGCTGGCGCCCGCGCCGGACCCCGCCCGGCCGCCGCCGCCGCCGCCGCCGAACCGCGAGAAGGCCCCCCCTCCGGCCGGGGGCTGGTGGGGGATGGCCTCGGCCCGGTCGAAGGAGGCCATCGTGTCCAGCTTGTCCTGGATGCTGGTGTCCCCCGTGCCGAGGGGGCCGCCCGCCATGCCGGCGCCCATGAAGGACGTCTCGGTGTCCATGGCCCCCTGGTGGTCGGTGAACTCGGTGGTGCTTTCGAAGTCGCTCATTTCGATGCTCACCTGCTGCGAGTACTGGCGCTGGTCCATGGACCCTGTGTGACGGGGGGGGGGGAGAGAGGGGGGAGAGAGCCGCCGCGCACGGGCGCGATGCCAAGAGATGCCGGGCAGGGGGCGGGGGGAGGGCGGCGTGGCAAGGGACGGTGAGGTGTTAGATCATGGGTCCCGGCAGGAGGTGGTGCGGCCGGCTTCTTTCCGGTGGGGGGGGGGGGGGGCGGCAAAGCCTAGCGATGCCGGGCAAGGAGCCCCACGCGGCTCGAGAGGGCGGTGGTGAGCCTGCCACGGGCACTTTCACAGGGAGGAGCATGCCCATGCGTGGAGATGTCTGCGTTTGTGTGCGTGCGTGTGCATGCGCGCAGGGGGCAAGTGCAGGACACAGCCAAGATGCAATCTAGTTCTAGGTAATATTCAAGGACAAAATACTCAGGTGAAAGGGGGGTTCTTCGCCTTCGGGATCGAGCGGCCTTTCCCCGGGCCAGCGCCCCCGGGAACACCCGATGGCCGGGGTTCCTGCCGCCGCCGCCGCCCCCCCCCTCCTCCCCCTGCCCTCGCCTGCCGCCGCTGTGCCCCGACCCCCCGGCAAGCGGGCGTGCCCTCTCGGGTGGGCGTGGTGCGCCCCTGCGCATGGCCCGTCGGCTGTGCTTCGTGCGAGACGCGCCCATGCGCGCCCATGCAAGCACGCCTCGGCACACGGCGGGATGAGCACTCGCACTCGCACCCACGCGGGCACGCACACGCGGGCGCTCGGGCATGGTCGCCTCGGCTTGTGGGCCTGGGCGGGGTCGGTCGACGCCGTGCCGGCCCGCCGGTCCAGGTCCCAGGGCAGGGAGGGGGGAGCAACAAGGCGGGGCAGGTCGTCCACCTGGCTTGCCCCTGTTGTCGGCCGGTCTCCCTCGGGCAGTGACATGTGCGGCTGGCCGGTGGCGAGCGGACCGGGCGAGAGGGCTGGCCCCGGGGGGGGGAGGGGGGGCAGGGCGGCCCGGGCAAGGGACCCAACAACCGGCGAAGGAGCCAGAGGGCGCACCACGGCCAGGGGCAGGGCGGCGAGGGGGCGGGAAAGAGGGGCCGGGCGGGACTGCATGGCGCAAAGGGCCGACCCAGCCGGCCGGGCCGGCACAGCGGCATGGAGGCAGCCCCGGTGGCCTGGCCAGCATATGTCGGCCCATGGGCCGAGGGCGGCACATCGATGGGGCCCACACCCCTTCCGGGGGGGGGGGGGGGGGGGGGATCCGCACAACCGGGACTGGTGAATGACAAAGCAGTGGCGTCAGGGGCCGGCGCCGAGCCGGCGAAGGCCCGACCCCGCCCGGTGGGGCCCGTGGCGAGGGGGGCCCAAAAGGCCGGCCGCCGCGGGGGCACATGCCGGGGACCGCGGCAATGCTACTCGGGAGACACTCTCCCCGAGCAAGTGGCACTGTTGCCATTGGTGTAATCATTGGCCTCCAAGTCTACAGGGCGGCAGTCCGGCAAAGGCAGATGCACGTGCGCATGCGCACCGGCGGCGTGCAAGGCAACGGCCGACGCGCACACGGAAAAGGGGACGGGACGACACATGGAAGGGAGAGGCACACGACGGCCGGGCATGGGACAGAGACTGGGTATCAATATCCCGGGAGAAGCGGGCAGCAGGGGTGTACCCGGAGCGGTGTTCCAATGACCCGGTCTCTCTTTCTCTCTCTCTCTCTCTCTCTCTCTCTCGCTCTTGCTCGCTGTTCTTCGCGCCCGCGGACTGCCCCATGGCGCCTCGCCCTTCCACCCCGCCCCCGCCCCTGTCAGACAGAGACTCGCTTGTGCCCGGATGGACGCGCAGGCATGGGCACCGGGAGCGCCAGGACGTGGGACCGCTGCGCCGGCCGTCGCTTCCAGGCTTCCCCGCCTCTCGGGCCACTTGCGCCGTGCGTCGCGGGCCTGGGCACTCCATAGCAAGCGCGCTTCCACCTCCCTGCCCCCCCCCCGCCCCCCCTCGGCCAACGCGTGTCCAAGCCGCCGCATCGGGCCTCTTGGCGTCGGCTCCCAGTGTTGTAGCTTCCCCCAGGCGTGCGCAGGGAGGCCGGCCACACAAGGAAAAAGGTCCCCACCCCTGCCCCGACCCCCTTGCGCGGGGTGGAGGAGCGGCAGACGCTCGAGCCACCGGTCGCGTGCTGTCGGCCCCCGAGGGAAGCCGGCGCACGCCGAGCGGCTGGCGCGGGACAGACTCGGGAATACAGGGGCGCTGGAGTGAGGGGGAGCGAAAGGCGAAAGGCACGTACCACCCTTCCACACGTCCGAGTGCGCGGTGCCCGACTTCTCTGAAATCGTGCGAGCAGCAGGCCCGGGCCGGGGGCCCGAGGGGCCGGGGGCGTCGCACGAGAGCAGCATGGCGGCAAGGTTAGAGGGCCGGCGCTCGGGTGGTGATGGGCAATTCGCATGTGCGACGTGTGCAGGCGGCAGGTCCCCTGACGCCGGGGCGCCCCGGCACCGAGTGAAGCAGTCCCCCCCCCCCCCCCTCTCCCGCCCCAGCACACCCTCTGCCGGCCGGGTCCGGGTGGCGACCAGGGAGGAAGCCCCGCGAAGGAGGGAGCCCACGCGGCATACGCACCGGTGCTGGTGGTGATCTCAATGTTGTCGGCATTCTGCCGGGTGCTCCGGGCGTTGGGCTTCTGCGTGCTGCCGGAGGTGCTGTCCACATTGGGCAGGCCGCCGCCGCTGTCGATGTCCAATTTGAAGCTCTCCAGGAACCGCTGGAGGTACCGCTCCCGGTGGAAGATGCTGCGCACTGGTTGTCAGTGACCGGCGGGGGCGCCCCATGCGGCAAGAGCGGGCGCGGTGGGCCCTGGCCGGCATGGGCCCGACGTACTGGTTGTACAGGGGGATGGTGATGGTCCCGTAGAAGGTGACGTGCGACAGGGCCAGCGTCGTGAGGGCAATCAGATAGCCCAGCGGCTTGCGGTACAGGCGCGGCACCAGCATGACCAGGAAGATGATGAGGATGAAAAAGAAGAAGCCCATCTGGATGGATGTCTGCTTGTACTCATTGAAGTACTTCTGCTTGACCTTGCGGTTGTGGAAGGCAAGGAACTGGCATCGGGCGAGGGCCGTCGAGGGGGGCGAGCGGGCAAGCGGGGGTGTTAGCACGGGGCCATCGGCCCGGGCTTGGGAGACTCTCTCTGGACCGGGGGGCCAGCGAGGCCGGCTGGAGGGCGGCGCACCCCGAGAACGAAGATGTCCACCAGAAGCTTGACAATCAGCATGATGGCAAAGAGGGTCCCATGGTCAAAGCAGCCCTCGGTGCCGTTCTGTGGTGCAGGTGCGGCATGGGGGAGGGGGGGGGGAGCGTGTGCGCATTTCGCGAGTCAGGGCGTTGGTCGGCGAGGCAACGGGGAGGTCAGCGGCATCGGGCAGAGAGGCACGCCGCCGGGGCGGCGGAGCACAACACCAGGGGGCCCAGGAGCGCGCCGGGCAGCGGGCGGAGGGCGCACCACGACGACCGGGCCGTAGGACTTCTTGGCGGTGCAGACCACCGCGAGGATGACATTCGGCAGGAAGTAGAGGGCAGTCCCGCCCCAGAGCATGCGCTTGGAGTAGCGCTTGTAGTGGAAGATCAGGTACAGCTGCGGGGTGTTTGTTTTTTGTTTTTTTTTTTTGCCAGGGTCAGAATGTGTCGTGCCGGTGTCCGCGGGCAAAAGCAGGCCGCCAGCAATGGGCGTCCACCTGTCCGCATGTATGCCCACGTGCGTGCGCGTGTGTGGCGGTGTGGCTCTGTGCCGGCGCATGGCGGCATCGGCACAGCGAGGGGCGGGCAGCGGTGCGTATGGCGCCGGAAACGGCGCACCAGCACGCGCGGGCCATGCCCCAGGAGACGCACCTTCCACATGCGGAAGAAGAAGCCGGTCATCATGGCCCCGTTGCCAAGCGGCACAAGCAGCCAGACTGGGCGTTTGTCCGAGCCGTCCACGGCGAATGGCGGTTTGTCAGTCGAGCGAGGTGGGGAGGGGGGCGGGGCGGGGGGCACAGCGTGTCAGCGGCCCGGCATGGAGGCCCGGCCGCTGAGGCGGCCTTGCAACGCACGAGTCAGGGAGCAGATCCAGCCGCCGAGGTAGGGAACAACGCCAACAGCACGCTGCTCGGCCGGGCGGCAGGGCGGCATCCGCGGGACGGGGCCCCGGGGAGGCAAGAGCATCGGGTCAGGACAATGGCTCGACCAGGGATCCAGCAGGGAGAGGGAGAGGCGAAAGCCCCCTGGCGACATCCCCCCCCCCGAGCACATACCATGGTAGCCAGGTTGAGGAAGAAGCCGCCTGCATCGGAGGCCGGCGAGCGGCCAGGCCGCCGGGTGGCGCGTCGGCGGTTGGGGGATTGGTCGGCGCATGTCAGGACCCCGGCTCATTCGCGGCTGCCCCGCGCCTTGGCCGGGCCCATATTGCAGGGCCCGGCTCGATCACCGATGTGCCCCCCCCCCCCCACGAGCAAGCGGGCAAGGTGTCCAGCGACCAAAGCACGCACCCATGTGCATCCAGGTGACCATGTCCAGCTGCTTGGCGCGGAAGGGCTTGTACGCGCGGTGGTACAGGATGTACGCCAAGATCAGGGTGTTGATGACCAGGGTGCCGATGATGACGGCCATGACGGCCACCTTGCCCGAGGTGAGGGTGTGGAATTGCTCCACATCAAAGTGGGGATCGGAGTACTCGCCGGTCTGGGGGTCGAACTCCAGCCGGGGCAGGGTGCTCAGCAGCAGGGCGTGCCAGCCGCCGGTGCCGGCGCCGGCGCCGGCGCCCGGGGTGTGCGCATCGGACATTGTCCCTTGGATTTGCTCGCGGGCCGGGCCGGGAAGAAGGGTCCAATCCGAAAGGCCGAAGGCGGGCCAGGGCGCAGCGGGGGGAGGGTGCGGCGGGGAGGGCGTGAAGGCAGGACTCGGAAGGCGCGAGGGGCGAGGAGCGTGTGCTTTTGTGTTTCCGTGTTTGTGT